TATTTTAAATACTTTTGGGTATTTTGCATGGTCTGTTATTGGAGTGTCACACGGGTGGGAGTTTTAACTCCTATTCACTGTGAATAAAAAAAAAAATTTATCTGATGCAGAGACATATAGACCGGGGGAATCCCCCCATCTCCCCACCCTCTGATTACGTATCATAACTTAACTACGTGTAAACGTTATTTGGCGGTTTTTACTTGGAAAACCAGCTATATTTTTCTTGCATTCGAATAACAATGGATAAACCTGAAACGATAGAAGAAGAATTGGAGATGAATTTCATTTACAAATAAGGTAGGAAATGTGCATACTTTTAAATCGAGACCTGCCACGGTGTTTCTTATTTGTCATCTTGATCCCTTTTGAGTGTCCTAAAAGCTGATGGGGGTGGGGGGGTCTATCACTCAGCATACCCAGTTAGCCGCTCGCCACTGCTTTAAGGTACTAATATGCACCATTTAGGGTTAAAAAAATGTAGAAGATCAGATGTACCCTTTAGCTTTTGTACCTTAGGATACCATCCCAGTGGCAGCTTTTGTACCTTTTTTTTGGTTCTCAACCAGGGAGCATCAAGATGGCTTAAAATGATTTAAAATAAGATTAAACAACTACAAATCAACTTATTTCTTATTTTATTTAACCCCTTCAACAACTGTTTGTTTTCTTTAAAGAACCAGGGTTCCCAAGGTTTTGGAAAATATGGATTTATTATGTAGCCTAATGTTAAAAGTGTGATTTCTAGACCTGAAAAAGTCAATTAAGAGTGTAAATTAATTAAGAGAATCTTAAAACAGAATCTTATACATTTTTTAAGTTATGCCAAGATTTTAAATATTTTATTGGGTAGAAACTCTGAGTAATAAATCTATTTTTAAATCCCTATCCAGTAAATCACAAATGACTGGAAGAGTCGTGGAAATTTATCGTTTAAAAGAAAGGGATGCCTGAATAACATACAGCTCATAACATTTCTGGAATCCTGAAATTGTATTATTTTAATTTTAGAAATGTTGTATTCAGTGTGTGGCTAGCTACTTTTTTGTTCATTTTCAGTTATTTTAATATTAATAATATTTATAATTAAAGTAAAAAAAATATTGTTTAAATTAAATATGTCATTTAATTTAAATGGTTTTCTAGATCTTGACACTGCAGATTTAAAGTGGCACAAAATAAGATTTTGGTCATATTGCCCACCTCTAATGCAGCATATAAGCTGTATTAAAATATGTGGACTCTGGCATTGGAATCAGCACAGCAAGCAGTATTTTGTCATGAATGTAACAGTTGAGTGATTCATTGTTTCCTGTGATTGTGGTTGCTGTGTAAATACACTCTTATCTCATAGCATAAATGCTACTTAAATGCAACTTCCGTGGTGACTTCACAGCAGTAGAGAAGTAGCCCACCCACACACTTTATGATGCAATGCAATGCAAAAAACACATTACTTTTCATATGAAGTCAAATGTAATGCAAATGGTTACTTGTTTTTAGAAACTATTATGTAACATGTTGCTTTTAACGTAATGTTCCCCTGACATCTGAGGTTTTTGTTGTAACTGTTTAACTGGTCACCGATGGCAAACACCACTTGACTAGTGGTAATTTGAATCCGAGACCCTTGTCTTAAACCATATTGAGACTCAGACCAGGACAGCAAATAATGAGACTCAGGCCACTTTAATGTCTCAAAACCAAGACCACAAGATCTAGACTCCATCTCTAGAGTACTGGATCCTCACACTTTCATAATCTTTGTTGGATATGAATATTGTGTTGCAGATTGTGGATTCAGGGATCTCTAAACAAGCGCTGAGTGAGATTGAAGCGCGTCACAAAGACATTGTGCGTCTGGAGAGCAGCATAAAGGAACTGCACGACATGTTTGTGGACATCGCCATGCTGGTGGAGAGCCAGGTACACTCCTCCCTTCATCACGCATCTGTTTGTCCATCGTTTTCTCCATCCTTTCATACTGTCAGTGTTTTCTGACTTCCTCCTCATTGTCATGCATTTCCTTCTCTTTCTCTGCCTCTCTCTCTCTCTGTCTTTTGTCTGTAGCATCCTTGTCTCTCTTCCTCTTTGTTCAAACTCGTTCTGTTGGTTGCTAAGCCGTATGCTGCTGGTCGGAGTGACTTCCCATCAGCTTTTTCTCTCACATGTGAGTGCTCTCTAACTGTCCTCTATGTTCGCATGACCTTTTTATTTCCCTTACTGACTGTATTCCTTTCATTCATCTACTTTATTATTTCGTCACAAACTTTATACACCCATTACAACCTCACCTTCAATAGAAGAAATTAAAGTGAGTAGCTCTTTTCCAAAAACCTAGTGAGCTGCACAGCTAGATGATGTTTTAAATAAGCAAAATTATACTTATTTATAAGATACCTCGATTTGATCGAAAATACAGTAGAAACTGTAGTATTGTAAAATATAAATAATTTAACTGAATATATTTTAAAATGTAATTTATTCCTGTGATGCAAAGCTGAAAATTTAGCATCATTAGCATTACTCCAGTCTTCAGTGTCACATGATCCTTCAGAAATCATTCTAATATGCTGATTTGCTCAAGAAATATTTCGTACTATTATCCATGGTGAAAACATTGTGCTGCTTCAGGATTCCTTGATGAATAGAAAGTTCAGAACAGCATTTATTTAACATATAAACAGTTTGTAAATCACTTTAATGCATCCTTACTGAATAAAAATATAAAAAAAATTTATGTTTTACTGGCCCCAGACTTTTGGTGGTGTATATTTTGCATGAACAGCACTGAACTGCTGGGTTGCTGCCCATCAGGTGTGTTTCATATCAATCACTTATTAGTTCCATTTCAGTTTGGTTTCTGCCTGTGAACGCAGCTCTCTGTGTAGATCGTTAATAGCAGGGATGCAGTTCACTAGGTTTAGGAGCAGAGCTAATTCAACACAATCTAAAGAGCTCTGGTAAATTATTGACCAATCCATTTTGCTTATTAACTGCTTGCTATGGAGAAAAGTGAAAGGTAAGCTTCTGGTATTTCTCTTATAAGTCCCTGTTCTTCAGAGCGTCAACACTGAATAAGGCAGACCGGGGCTAGTTCTCACTCTTCTTACTCCAGTGAATCAGGGTGGGCTTGGTTTTCAAAGCCAATTTCTATATAGCCAAAGTACTGGCTAGAAAGATGTATTGAACATGTTTACCACTATTGCCCTGGAAAATAAAAAAGTTATTTTAAAAACATTGACTGCCTAAAGTGATAATTCGTCCCAAAATTTTGTCATCATTTACGCGCCCTCATGTCATTCCAAACCTGTATAACTTTTTTTCTTCTGTTGAACACAAAAGAAGCTATTTTGAAAAATGTGAGTAAGCACACAGTTTCTGGTCCCCATTGACTTCCATAGTATTTTGTCCTTACAGTGGAAGTCAGTGGGGACCATTAACTGTTTGGTTACAAATATTCTTCAAAATATCTTCTTTTATGTTTCACAGAAAAAAGAAAGTCATACAGGTTTGGAACAACGTAAATGATGACAAAACTTTCATTTTTGGGTGAACTATCCCTTTAAGACCAATTTGAGATTAAAGGGGTCATATGATGCGATTTCAATTTTTCCTTTCTCTTTGGAGTGTTACAAGCTCTTGGTGCATAAAGAAGATCTGTAAAGTTGCAAAGGCTTAAGTCTCAAATCCAAAGAGATATTCTTTTTAAACGTTAAGAGTCAATCACGCCTACCTAAAACGGCTCGTTCGAACACGCCCCCATATCATCATATGACCCCTTTAACTTCGCTGTGAGACAACTAGCCCCGGCTTCCCCATCTGTGTGTGTGTTCGTGGTGCACCTGGGTATATATGTATTATTTGGAGATAAAGGCACCCTGTATGTGTGTTTTCATTGTTTTTTGTTTTTTCATATGTTTCAGGGCAACATGGTTGATAACATTGAGGTGAATGTAGGTAAAGCAGTCGATCACGTTGAAGCGGCAAAGACTGAAACCAAGAAAGCAGTCAGGTATCAGAGCAAATCCCGGAAGGTACGGACTTCACTGTAACAGGCAATGAGGCTTCTGCTGTTTCTTTTCTCTTCCGTTTTTGCCCCCCACCTCTCTCTCTTTCTCTCTCTCTCTCTCTCTCTCTTTCTTCTCTATTTCCTTTTTTTTTCTTTTCCCTTCTTTCTTCGTCACCCAAAATCCACTGTAGGGCGGTATGATTGAGAGGATTGAGAACAACATGGATCAGTCAGTGGGTTTTGTGGAGCGGGCGGTTGCTGACACTAAAAAAGCCGCTAAATATCAGCAGGAGGCTCGACGTGTGAGTTCATGATGAATTTCAGGCCCCGCCCCCTTTCCCACCCTGCCTCTCCTTACTGTGTCCGAACCCACTGACGTTACACATAGAGTCACATTCACACACTAACAAACCCAGTGATTATTACTAATCCTGATACGCCCTGAAACCTCCCATTACAGGATTTCAGTGTAAGTCAGGTCATGAAAAAAAACAATGTTAAGCCACATGTTCACTTTTCATGTCATATTAACAGCAACAAAACATTTGACACATTACACACACACAGCTGAGAAGGATACATTTTAACAAAGCCGTTCTGTGTTAAAATGTGAGGAAAAACAACCTCTTTTGGTGTGAGCGAGAGCTTACGGTGATTGATCTGTTAGCACCATTCATGAAGTCAAGGGGTTTGTGACCATTTTGGTCTTTTTGCCACTTTTATATATACAGATAAAATCATAGAAAACACAGCATGTGTATAAAAATATAAAAACTTGCTCCACCTATGAAACTACTTCTCTTTATTGTCATTGTTCAGGTACAACAATGACAATGATAGATTTTCATATTAAATTTAAAGGAACACTCCACCCAAAAATGAAAACTTTCATCATTTATTCATCCTCATGTCGTTCTAAACCTGTCTGACTCTACTTTCCTTTCTTCTATGGAACACAATATAATATATTTTAAAGAATGTTGGGAAGCAAACATCACCGGATTCCATTGACTTCCACTGTATGGGCAAAATTCTCAAAATATCTTCTTTTATGTTCCTCAGAAGAAGGAAAGTTATACAGAAAATGGTGACTTTCATTTTTGGGTGAACTGTCACTTGTATAGTAGTATTATATTCTTATATAAAATTATATTAAGAAAAATCAATTAAATAGTTATGTATTAAGGCATAAACAAGAGTAGAACAACAGAAAGAATAGAAAAGTATTACAATTAATCAAAGCTATAAAGCAATGATTTTAACATGAAGGTTTATTGTACATGGAATGAACTGACCAAGGCAGTGCAAAATATTAAGACTGATTTATTGAGTATGTGTAGTAAACCAAGACCAAGATGTGCAAAATACACATTTTTGGAAATTATCTTGCGAAGAGACAAATTCTGAGATTCCATCTGGAAATACGTCACATTAAGAAAGTATTTTGGGTTGCAAATGATGAATATGATGGGCATACATGGTGAAGCACAAGCTCTCCTTTCTTTCTTTCTTTCTTTCTTTCTTCTTCTTCTTCTTTTTAAATCTTCAACACTCTCTGAACAAATGGTATGAAAACTGTCACTGGGGCAGTCAGTAGGCTACCTTTTCAAAAGGTACCCCTAAAGGTGCATAAAAGTACCTCAAATGTACATATTAGTACCTCAAATGGTATATTTGTAGTTTTTGTAAGGTACCACCCCAGTGACAGCTTTTGTACTTTCAGTACAAAAATCCTCATTTAGTGCAAAAAAATACAATTTAGTAGAGTAAATGATAGTTTTATAGACATTGTCTTTTCAATAAATGTAATGCCTAGTCCTGAAATGAATACCAGATTTTCCATCAAAGATCATTTGTTGGCCCAGACTGGATGTTGTGTCTTTATATTTGAGTGAGCTGTTTATTTGTTACTCAAATGTTAACGTAGATGCTAACAGTTGTGTTGTTGTGTATATGTGTGTTTCTTCACAGAAAACAATTATTATAGTGTCTGTGGTTTTGGCGGTTTTGGCAATTATTGCTTTGATAGTGGGTTTATCCGTAGGTCTGAGATAAAGGCTCTGGTGAGTAAATTTCAGAGGACTGTGTGTAAGGTTTGGGAACTGGGAAAGGTGTGGGTGTTTGATATTATTCAGATATCGACCGGGTTTTTTTAAGTTCATCTTCTCTAGTCTTCCTCGTGGATGTAAATAAGCATGCTTTGTAGGGCTGGGTAAAAAATATAGATATCTCGATATTAATCGATTCTCATTTTTATGATATCAATTCTTAAATCCCGAGAATCGATTAGTCTAGCCTGTTTTCAGTTAATGGACG